CAGGGAACATTTATTTACAAATTAATTTCTTTCATTTGATTCAAGACTGAGATACTCATATTTGTAAATGTAGCAGCTAACACATGACTGGGTCCATAATAGGTTCTCAATCAATTTTGAATGAATGAATAAACAAATCGGCCAACAACAACAAATTAATAAACAAATGAATGAATAATTGGCTATCTTGTTGGTGGGAACCCCAGACTCTTTTGGTTCTTTTTTTCTGTGTCCTGCTGCCTTCTCCTTGGTCAATCACCATTAGTCAGGTAAAGCTTCAACAGGTAGAAAGAACTGGGAGAGAGTTTCAAAACTCTGCATGTTGGTTCTTTGATGTCACCAGAAAAGAGCTCTGATAATGAAAAGCACAGTTAAGAAAGTTTATATTATTAGATACAAAAAGGTTTGGAGATTCTTAGTTGGCTTCAATCTCCAGGTTAACATAAGGGAGGTGTTGGTTCTATGTCAAGGCAAATATTGACTCCCTTCATAATGCCACTTCTAAAACCAGTGTAGGCATCAGTTCTAGAGGTTTCTGATTTGCCTATTATCTCACTCTTCTTCCTAAATCAGTCCTAGTCTCTGGCCATTCACTAGTTTACAAGAATAACAAAATACCACCTAAAGCCTAAGAATAGTCACCAAATGTATATTAAACAACATGAAGGACAGAAGATCAAAACCAGGTCTAATATTAGAATTCTGATCACGAGTATGTACACTTATATTTTTCATTTTGACCTCCACCTCAAATCTAAAAGATAAAGTGGATGGGTATTATTAACCCCATTTTACAGATTGGGAAATCTAGGCTCAGAAAGTTTTTGCCCTGTTTTTTAATTGGTGACAAAGCAGGATTCAAACAACTGCCTCATGATCTTTTAAATATGAGGTGTTATCACTAACCACCATCTAGTGTGGTAGTAAGCATGGAAATGTGTTCCCTAAATTTACAGATACATTTGTAATGGCTCATGCACACTTTTTGTTGAATAATAACTAAAAAGCATAAAACTAAATTGTAAAATCACATCAAACATTTCTGTGTCACTATGCTAGGCATTTAGTAACTAATGACAGATTTATTCATGTCAGGGTGATTGTAAAGTCATGAAATAAAGCTAATTAGTTATCTACCCATCATTAAAAACTATACCCTTGGATCCTTTAACACCTTACTCTAGCCATCTGAGCTAATCCATGGTCTTTGCAATAAAAAGATACTGAAACCTTTATAAATCTACAGATATACTTTGAGTGAATGTCAAACACTGCATATGATAGGTTGGGTTTTTTCCTCAAGTACTGAGCAAATTTTGTGCTTAAAAAAAATTGCACTGTGTTACTGATAATCGAAAATGTATTTACTTAGCTGGGCAATTTTAATTAGTTTGCTGGTGCTCCAGACTTTTGGGCGAATGGGATTGTTTTCTAATACCTGTAATACATACAAGCGTTAAATCAAAGCTGACTCCAGCAAAATCAAATTCTAAAAGCCCTGGAGTAAAATCAAGATAAAACAATTTACACCACAACCACTGCATCAAATAGAAAGAAGTCTATGAATAGTCTAATGGCTATCACCACTATAATTTTCCAAAGAAAGAAAATCAAAGTTTAAGATTTTCTAGCAAATCCTACATTCATTACATTTCTATTGCTTTTAGCTTGTCCAAAATGGTTATCACTTCTAAAGCATATCAACTTAACAACTGTATAATGAAGACTGGAGAGAAACACAAAATTCAAAGAAAAGTAACTCCTGCATAGAATAATTATAGGTTTTTTCTCTTTAAATATGCATTTAATGCTTCTATTTGATTCTTATTTAACAAATAAAAAGCAAGCAAAAATATGTGGCTTATGAGGGAAGTATCTCAACGTTGGAGCTGTAATGGATAGAGTTAGGACCATAGACTTGCAGCATCAGCTCTGCCTCCCCTGTTCTTTGACCCAGGTGGATGGTCTCCATTTCACTGGGCCTGAATATCTCTAGCAATAAAGTGATGATAAGAAATATGACCTATTCTACATCATATATTAAAGAATATAAAAAGGATTAAAACAAATATGCAGTTATCAAATTCAGAAAAAGATGGTTTAGCAAATTGAAACTTGCTTTTGAAAACATTAATAGGTAAAAGTGAGAGAGAAACAGGTATTGGACACATTCCAGCAGGCAGGATGGATATGCTCCCATAATAACAACTGAAGCAACATCTAAGAGCACTATTGTTGATATTCTCTTATCTTCTAAAAATAAAAAAGCAAATACTGAAGCCTGTAAAATGCCAAATAATGTTAGAATAGATAAATAAAAATTAGATAGAAGTCAAAATTAAGGTTTTAGAGACTGAAATCAGAAGACTTTGATTCCAGCCCCATTGCCAATCCCAGATCTTAACTGTGCAGAACTGTCAAGTCTCTCTTCTAGTTTACTGATCCACAAATTAAGGACAATTTTTACTGTTACTAGAGTCCCCTTGTCACCAAACAGGAACAGGGCCAGGCCGAGAGTGGGCCAGGCTCGGGCCAGCCTGTAGTGTGTGGGTTTTCCTTTGTGCAGGAAAGATTTCACAATACAAGTCCAGGTGATTTTGAGGACATGTTTAATTCAAGCTGGGACAGTGAAATATGGAAGGGTTTAGGGTAGAAGGTGCAATAGGAGACAGCCTAGGCTGGGCTGCTATCAGCTCACTGCAAAGTCAGAGAAAAGGTGCCTTGGAGACAAGTTCATGGAGTTAGCCTGGGATGAGCTGCTGCTGCTCATTGCTCCCCTGGTTGCAAGTCTCATGGGGACCTTTGGAGTTTAGGAGGTTCCTGAAAGAGAAAGCGTGCCCTGGATCCTTCATCTTGAGGGTTTTAAAGGCTGAGAGTTTAGAGGAGGATCTCAATAGAATATTCATCAGCATTATGCTGATATACCAAACTGAGATATATTCCCTTAACTTCACCTGTCCTTGGGTATGGTTGACACAAATGGCACTAGTTGGATTCCTGCTATCTGTCTCCCTGAGTAGGAAGATTTAAGCTATTTGGGAAAGAGAAGTGTAAACTATTTACTCCTAAGTGTCTTTGGTTAGGGAAGATAGGACTTTGCGATTTACTAGATGGCTGTAAACTGCTTGGCTATTTAACTATCCGTCTCAGTTTCCCTATTCCACTTGTCTGGCTTACTGGCCTGTCTCCCCCCCCCTCAATAGTCTGCATGCCCCTTAGGGTTCAGGGTGGCTGGAGAAGGCTGAGATTGTTCTGGTTCACGGGACATTAAGAGACTTCATTGACATCAAGATTTCTGGAAGTGTGCTAAATTCCATTGCAAGCATCAGAAAGAGAAACTGTCACAAATGCTTCCTATGTCCTAATTTTATATTCTCTTCTCAAGTCTTCACCCTAATCCCCTTTCCTATATCATAACCAAGACACATGCACTGTGAAGAGAACAAAGGGGCAGGTTGTGTTGATCTTTGCAGACCTTACTTCCTTGACAACCCATAGTCCCAAACAACAGTTAGAAAGGCATTGCATCTAACCTCCCCATGTCTCACAGTCTCAAAATATTTTAAATTGTTGTGTATTCTCCCAGGGTCTGGCATCAAACATTCTAAATTTTGGACCTAGGAATTCTGGATTCCTCTCAAAAGAGCCATCATAATGCAGAATGTAGGAGAAAATAACCCAAAATACTTAAAGGCCTCAGTCAAAAACCTTTAAAGGCTGACATTCATACTGAGCCTCGGTTAGGGGGGGAAAGTGTGTGTGGGTGGGGAAGTGGATTTAAAAACCATCTACCCTTCAGTTTGAATATAAAACCCCCTTATGAAGCTTTATTATTAATAACAACATTAGGCCTGCATATCTCATAAGGTTGTAAAAATCAAATTAGATAACGGAGGTAAAAAGCCCCCTGAAAACTGTTCAAATTTTTAAATTACTAACTTATATTAGTTAGGAAATAAAACAAAATATGGTCAATAAACAACCTTCCCAGAGTATAAGGGATAAAGTAATATTTCTGTAATTTCTAGCCAGGTACAATATACACAAACCCTACTTTCTGGCTCTAATAGAAAATAAAGTTCTTCAAAGAAGATAAATTGAAAATATACTGAATGCTCCATCCACAAAAAAGAATATATTACTTATATTCAAACAGAATGATGTCTAATCAAGTTGTCGTTGTAAATATAACTGCAGAGAAAATATTTAATCCATCTAAGGGGTGGAGGGTGGTCTTCAAGCACATTCAGAAGCTCATATTTTTACATAAAGGTTTTAACAATTTTTTAGTGTAGATCATTCATGAATCCAAACCAAATCCACTAACATAAAAAGAATACCTTTGACCAAGCTGTATTTATTCCAGAAATGCACTATAACTCACCATATTAACAGAATAAAGGAGACAAAAACCAATAATCATCTCAATAGAACTGTAGAAAACATCATTTGACAAAATTCAACATTATTTAAGGTAAAAAGGAAAAAAACAACACTTCAGCCAACTACAATAGAATTTCCTTGATCTGATGAAAGTAGCTACAAAACAAAGAAAGAAAACTCCTGCTGCAAACATTCACACTTAACAGTGAAAGTTGAAGCCTTTCCCTCTAAGATTGGGACTGTGAACAGAAAGGCCTCCATCACTACTTAAATTAAACACTGTAGTAAAGATTCTAGCAGTGAAATAGAGCACAAAAGGAAGTAGAGAAGAAAGAGAAAAGGAAGGGAGAGAAGGGGGAGGGAGGGAGGGAAAAGGAGGAAAATGGTACAAGAAATGAAAAAGAAAACTGCTGTCACTATTTGCAGATGTTACTATGTGCAGGTAAAAAACCAAAAAGAATCTACATATAATTTATTGTAATTCATAAGTGAATTTAGCTTGTTTCCTAGATAAAAGGGAAATGTAAAAATAATTGTGATAATCCTATGTACCAGCAAATAAATAGAAAATAATATGTTATATGATGCTTAAATTAAAAAAAACAAAAACAAACCTTAAGCCAGCCAATGAGTCTGCTTACCTGAATGTGTTTCTGCAAAAACTCATACAAAGCTGGCAATTTAGAGTAGTCATGTTACAAGCCTTAAAGACACAGAAGTCATTAAGGTCCCTGAAAATGGCTATAAGAAAAAATAAAACGTGAACACCCAGAAATAAATCTAATAAAAATATACAAGACCACTACATTGAAACCTATAAAACTTAAATTGGATGAGTTAATGATTTAACCATTTGTCTCCAAATCCCAGCAGTTTTTATTTCTAAATTATAGAAATTGACCACTGATTCAAAATTTTATGTGGAAATACAAAAGGCCAAGAATAGTCAAGACTGTCTCAAAGATCAAAATTAGAGGAATTATACTACTGGATATCAAGATTTATAAAACTACAGTAATTAAGACAGACTAGACAAACAGACCACTAGAACAGAAGAGGAAGTCCAGAAACAGTCCCACCGTTTCATGGACAATTATTAAAGTATATCCAGGCTGGCACTGCACAGCTGTGGGGGACATTGCTTATTTTCAATAATGGTGATGGTCAGATTGGATATCCTTTTAAAAATTTATTTATTTTTATTGCTAACACTATTATAGATGTCCCCATTCCCCCGCCCTTTACCCCACACCCTCTTCTGTCCCCTCTGGCCATCACCACACTCGTGTCTGTGTCTATGGGTTATGCATATATATTCTTTTTTTTTTTTTTTAGAGAAAGAGAAAGGAAGGGAGAGAAACATTTATTTGTTGTTCCACTTATTTATAGATTCATTGGTTGATTCTTGTATGTGCCCTGACTGGGGATCAAACTCACAACTTTGGTTTATCATTCTAAGCAACTGGGTTTTTTTATTTTTCTTTTTTTATAATTTTTTGAGAGTCTATTTTAGCCAAGGAGCAAGATCTCAAATGCTTTGCAGAATAATAGTTTTGTAGCTTCTTTTATGCATTTGAAATTAAAGAGGAGACATAAGAAAGATTGGAGGAAGCAAGGTAGAGATTATATTATTGGACAGTTAACAAGACTATGTGCTCTCTTGAGAGTTAATACCCTCTTTGAGGGGAATTACTTCTCATATTTCAAAGGATGTTAACCTAGATGCACAAGAACAATGAACATGGCTAGTTTAAAACCTTTCACTAATTAAGTTATAGGCCTAGGACGACTACCCACCATGACATGCCCAGCTAGGAATATGCGATGAGATCACCCTGTCAGGTTACTTTCCATAGACCTCCCTCCCCTCAATTTTTTTATCCATACTTTCCCCTTTTGGTTATTAACCAATCTGAAGGATGCATCGATGATCAACCTTTTGGTTGAATAGTGTGATATCACATTGCTAGGAAGGCTCATCCCTAGGCAGATTGGATGCTCTGGGGAAGGTGAGGGGAGAACTTGATGCCTATCTCACATCACAAACAAAAATGAATTCCAGGTGGATTTTAGATCTAAGTATAAAAGTTAAAATGACAGTGAAGGATGATACATAAGATATTAGTTTCATAACCTTTGGATAGGAAAAGATTTCTGAAATAGTATACAAAAAGCATGTAAAGGAAATGATTGATAATTGGGCTATATTAAAATTAAGAACTTCTTTTCATTAAAATATACCATCAACAAAGTGAAATGAAAAACAGTAGATCACCTCACACCTGTCAGAATGGCCGCCATCAACAAATCATCAAACAAGTGTTGGTGAGGGTGTGGAGGAAAGGGGACTCTAGTGCACTGCTGGTGGGAATGCAGACTGGTGCAGCCACTATGGAAAACAATATAATGTTACCTCAAAAAATTAAAAATTGAACTGCCATTTGACCCAGTGATCCCGCTTCTAGAAATATACCCTAAGAAGCCTGAAACACCAATCAGAAAGAATATATGTACCCCCATGTGCGTTGCAGCACTATTTACAATAGTTAAGATCTGGAAACAGCCCAAGTGTCCATCAGTAGACGAATGGATCAAAAAGCAGTGGTACATATACACAATGGAGTACTATGCAGCTGTAAGAAAGAAAGATCTCTTATCCTTTGAGACTACATGGAAGGACCGGCAAAGTATTATCCTAAGCGAAACAAGCCAAACAGAGAAAGATAAGTATCATATGATCGCACTTATTTGTGGAATATAATGAACATAACAGTCTGAGGAATGGGGTAGTCCCAGAGACGTGGAAGTGGGGTACAGACTGACAATCCCCAGAAGAGGGGGTGGTGGGGGAGAGATGAACCACAGAACTTATATGCATATATGCATGAACAGTGAACATGGACAACATAGCTGGGGACAAGGTGGGGAGGGAGAGGGAGGGGGGAATCAGTGGGGGGGGAAGGAGAAATATCTGTAACAAAAATAAATTAATTTTAAAAATTAAAAAATAATACATTAAATTTTTTGAATATTTGTTGTTTTAAAATTTTAACCAAGTAATATCACAATAAATATAAAAACTGTTCCTGTAAACAAAAAACTCACAGTAGAAAAATATTTTTTTAAATATATAACAACTGCCCTGGCCAGTTTTGCTCAGTGGTTAGAGAGTTGGCCCATGGACTGGAGAGTCCTGGGTTTGATTCCCACTAAGGGCACGTACATCGGTTGCAGTTTGTCCCCAGCCCCAGTTGGGGTCGTGTGGGTAGCAACGCTATATGTGTCTCCCACACATCAGTGTTTTTCTCTCTCTCTTCCTTCCTTTCTCCTTCCCGCTCTACCTGAGAATGAATGCAAAAGTGTCCTCAGGTGAAGATATATATATATATATATATATATATATATATATATATACACACACACACACACACACACACACACACACACACATATAGCAACAAATATATGATATATATAGCAACAAATATATATATTTGATATATATGATATATATCAAATATATGATATATATATCAACAAAGAATCCATATTTTTACATACATAAAGAATGTCTGCATGTCAAAAAGGAAAAGGCAGACAATCCCATAGAAAGTTAAGAAAAAGAAATAAGCAGCTTCTTTTTTTTTCTTTTTTTATTAATTAATTTTGGTTATAGATGTTTCTCCTTTTTCCCCCACTGATTCCCCCTCCCCCCCCCGTCCTGTCCCCAGCTTTGTTGTCCATGTCCACTGTTCATGCATACATGCATATAAGTTCTATGGTTCATCTCTCCCCCACCACCCCCTCTTCTGGGGATTGTCAGTCTGTACCCCACTTCCACGTCTCTGGGACTACCCCATTCTTCACACTGTTATGTTCATTATATTCCACAAATAAGTGAGATCATATGATACTTGTCTTTCTCTGTTTGCCTTGTTTCACTTAGGATGATACTTTCCAGGTCCCTCCATGTCGTCTCAAAGGATAAGAGATCTTTCTTTCTTACAGCTGCGTAGTACTCCGTTGTGTATATGTACCACATCTTTCTTATCCATTCATCTACTGATGGACACTTGGGCTGTTTCCAGATCTTACCTATTGTAAATAGTGTAAGCAGCTTCTTTTTAAATGAGGATATCAGAATTGCCAGCAAACATGAGTAAAGGTGTTCAGCTTCATTAGTCATCAGGGAAATGCAAATTTAAAACTGATGTGACATTACTACACACCCACCAGTATGGCCAAAGTAAAAATACATAGTAATATGAAGTGCTGCAAAGAATGTGGAGCAACTGGAATGCTTACATGCTGCTGGTGTGAATGTATAAAACTCAAATCCAGGCAAAGTCTACCTATAATGTTAGAAATCAGGATATGATTGCCTTTGGAGAGAAGACGGTGGGATAAATACTAGGAAAGAACACAGGTGGAAAGGGTGGGGGCTTTGAGGGTACAGTTCTATTTCTGGCATCATATTTCTTTTAAAATTTTTCTTTATTGATTTTAGAGAGAGAGCAAGGGAGAGAGAGGTAGAAACATCAATGAGAGAGAACATGAATTGGACGCTTTCTGCATGCCTCCCACTAGGGATTTGGCCCACAACTTGGGCATGTGCCCTAACTGGGAATCAAACCAACGACCACTTGGTGCATGGGTCAATGCTCAACCACTGAGCCACACCAGCCAGGCAACATTATATTTCTTTTTTTTCTTTTTTTTTAATTTTCACTGTCTTGATCAACTTTTTTTTTTCCTAATGCCAGATAATTATTTCTTTTTTTTTTTTTTTTTTTTTTTAATCTTATTTTTGTTACAGGTGTTTGTCCTTTTATACCCCATTGAAACTCTCCTCCCCATCCCCCCCGCCCCGTGCCTGGCTTTGTTGTCCATGTCCATTGGTTATGCATACATGCATATAAGTTCTGTGGTTTATCTCTTCCCACTCCCAACACCCCCTCTTCTGAGGGTTGTCAGTCTGTACCCTACTTTCATGTTTCTGGGTCTACTGTATTCCTCATACTGTTATGTTCATTATATTCTGTATATAAGTGAGATCATGTGGTATTTGTCTTTTTCTGCTTGGCTTGTTTCGCTGAGGATAATACTTTCCAGTTCCCTCTATGTAGTCTCAAAGGATAAGAGATCTTTCTTTCTTACAGCTGCGTAGTACTCCATTGTGTATATGTACCACTGCTTTTTTATCCATTCGTCTACTGATGGACACTTGGGCTGTTTCCAGATCTTAGCTGTTGTAAATAGTGCAGCTATGAACATGGGGGTACATATATTCTTCCTGATTGGTGTTTCAGGCTTCTTAGGGTATATTCCTAGAAGTGGAATCACTGGGTCACATGTCAGTTCAATTTTTAATGTTTTGAGGTAACACCATAGTGTTTTCCATAGTGGCTACACCAGTCTGCATTCCCACCCGCAGTGTATTAGAGTTCCCTTTTCTTCACACCCTCACCAACACTTGTTGTTTGATGATTTGTTGATGGCGGCCATTCTGACAGGTGTGAGGTGATACCTCACTGTTGTTTTAATTTGTATCTCTCTGATTAATAGTGATCCTGAGCATTTCTTCACATGTCTCTTGGCCATTTGTATGTCCTGTTTGGAGATGTGTCTATTCAGCTCCTCTGCCCATTTTTTAATTGGGTTCTTTGTCTTCCTTTTGTTGAGTTGTATGAGTACTCTATAAATTTTGGAAATTAACCCCTTATCTGATGTATCATTGGCAATGATGTTC